TATGTGTTTTTTATTTGATTTTTCCTAGCATCCCAGGTTGTACTAACGTTGATTCGAATACTTGTACTATTTGAATAAAAACAACACTTATGCTATATATTCTCACCCTTCCTCACAGTTATTTATATTGTTTTTTACTTGATACTGTTTGTTGTTATACGACATACTGAACCTTAACTAGCCGAGCTAAAGTAATAATCGATAAAATTGCATAACAATTCTTACATCCTGAGCCTACTAGCCTCAACGAGGTTAACTAAACTAGCAATTACAAATCCATACCAGCTAGAACCTTAACAAACGAACACCAAAATCTACGAGATCTTGGTTTCTTTAACATCTCGAGAATAGTTCATTCACCCTTATAAATTAATCTTAAATTTTGAACCGCTTTATCGTCTAACATCTATAGAATAATTTATTCATCCTTATAAATAATTTTAAATTTTAAATCCCTTTAATCTTTTCATCTTCGTTCAATATACAACGGAAACAATTTATCCAACGAAAACAATTTATCCGTGGCACAAACCGATTTCGACTCCCACACAATGAACAAAAACCAAACCAAACCGAACCAAACAGAACCAAACCATAGAAAAAAAATATGAACACAAGATACTACACACAAAGGTTCTCTGTTTTATTTATTCATGATGTTAGTAACTATAGTAAATTTTCCGACACCCCTTGCATAAAAAAGCCCAAGGGACTTGCAACGATACCATCAAAGATCGCCTCCAAATCCATTCTACTGATTAACTGATCGAAAGTTAAAAACAACACACCAAAAAAAAATACCAAAATTTTAGGTTTTATCCTCAATTATAGAAGCTAGACCAGTAACTAGCTTCACTCCTCTGTTCAGATTCTTAGGCTTAATCTCCAATGGCTCCCATTTTGTCACCAATGGCTTCCTCACCTCATCATCTCCTTGATAAGGGCTGTTACTGTTAGAAAAAACAAACACAAAATCATCATCATCGATTTTCTCGTTATCTTGGCTGGAGCTCGAGTTCGAGCCCGACCGAGTGAAGGGCGAGAGCCATTTAGCCTTCACATAACCGGCTTTACGCCATGGAGGCACGGGCATGCCTCGTTTCTTTAGGCTCTGTTTGGCAGCTTCGGATACTACACTCACGATTTTCTCGAGACGGTCAGCTTTCCCCACGAATATGTTTGGCAGGGTTTGAAGCACCTGCCGGTATGCCTTGGTGGGCCTCGCGATTTCGAATTCCGATCTGAAATCTATGTCGATTATCAGCCGCTCGCATTCGACTTTTGCATCCACATATTCGTATTCCCCTGTAAACAACAATTTGTAGTTTTAACTATTGGCTGCTGATTCATTTGTACAGAACAAAAACAATTCCAAGAAAAGTAACTCAGCAAGATGACAACTTTACCAGCCAGAAAAGAGGGGGTTTTCTCCCATTTTGATCTGCAGATTGAAGCTTTGTACCCAAGAGCAATTAGGCCATCTGCCACAATTTTTCTGCAGAACTCGTCTTTTCGCTTACCGATTTTGTTTTTATCAACAATTTTTGCGGTGTCGGCCAGCAGATTTCTCTCCGAGATGCTCGAGCAGGGGACCAGACTCTGCATATAATCCATTAGGAAAAATAAATAAATAAATGAATCAGTAAACAGATAATAAAACAAAATACTAAGGTTCGTGTCGAAAAATTATGGACCACAAAATCAAGATAAACGATAAACTAACTACCTTGAGAATATCGCATGCGTGACCAGAAGAATTGTACGATTCTGAATCCTCATCGGAGCTATCTGTGCCACTGCCATTGAAGCAATTGCATTTTTTCCTTCCACATTTCTGCTTCTCGTTAGTGTCCTCCATAAAATTCTGAACCATTTTCGCGAGGCAAACGGAGCTCGGCTCAAACTCTTCCGCACCATCCTTGCCACCGCCGTTCGGCGGCGGTGGCGGCGGCAGCTCAGCTACGCCGGGAAGCTTTTCCGACGCAGACGTTCTCAGCACGCCGGAAAAGGGTTTCTCGAAAAGCCGCCTGAATTTCAACTTCAGTATCGGTTTGGCCAATGCCTCGGGTTTGGGCTGCTGCTCGAGCGGTGCGTTGAAATCAATCGGCTGAATCTTCATGGGATAAGGCATGTATTTTGATGTGCGAAGAGAAGAAATTCAAAGGCTGCTGATATTTTCGGGAGTTTTTAATTATTTTTTGGCTCCATTTTTCCGCAGCACGCTCAGTTTGAGAATTTCGAGTCAACGTCGACGACTTCCAATTCTACAGTGAAAGATATCCGATCAAGAAAAGGTCTTTGGCTACCAAAATTCGCGATTAACTCCTCAACAATTTCTAAAGTAAATACGCAGATTTAGACAAACTGATAGAACCAAAAAGCGAATAATTAAAATTAATTAAAAAAAAAAACTAAAAATCCGCATAATCAGAATATCCTAAACAATCAAACATAGAAAAAAAAACCCAAATTTCACGCTGATCGATCTACAGAAACTAAAAAAAATCGAAAATCTCAACAATCAGACACCTTCATCTCGCAAATCATCGCAATCGACCTCTAATAATTCATCAACTGATCCAATTGTCGTCTCGAAGCATGGAATAACTTCTAAACTCGGACACGCAAAAATTACTTTAAAATAAAGCTTCGGTTTGCTTAGGGTTTTCAATTACCACAAAATCCGACCACGGAGAGGCTCCATCAGCATGACGTAAGCTATCCGGCGACCACCAAACCGACGATCAAACGCCGATCAAAGCTATAAACGGATCTCCCAGTCAGAAAACACGAATCGGCGGCACTGTGGATGAATTTACACGCTTACTGTGTGTGAGAGAAAAGGGGAAAAAAAATGGGGAGGTTTGGTTGGTGTGAAGGTCTGTGAGTACGCTTGTGCGTGAAGAGTGTGTGAACACTGTGAAGGCTCTCAGGAGGACCAAATAGGGG